TTATTTAAATTTGCTAAATATTCAACTACAACTAAAAAAGAAGTTTGTTTACTAAATATTTATTTTCTTTCCCAAATCATGGACTAATTCAATAATAGTTTCTATAGCGATTAATGTAAACATTTCTATGCGGACAACCATATTTAAATAATCAATTCTTTGCTTGATATTTGAAATCGTACACTGTATTAATGCTAAATAATATGACACTTCATATGAATTTATTTGATTTTTTAAACGAAGTAGCATTAATACCTATTTAATTTTTATATAGAGGTAATTCTATATATCACAAATGGGATATTATAAAATTGTTAATTATAATCACATTATGACTAAATTTTGATCCCTGAAATTCTTGGTAATACCAATGTTCACTTTGTCTGGTTTTGTTGCAGCATTCCCCATATGTTTTTTTTTTTGAATTTAAAATAATAAAATTATTACTAAAACTAACTACACTTTTTTGTAATGTTGTAGCTTTATTATTTTTTCGTGAAACTCATATATTGATATATTTTACACGGAATCCACAGCTACCCAAGTACAAGGGTAAAACTATTTATTTTAATATTAATATAAGAAAAAATTTTTACCTATTACTATCATGCTTTCATGTGACTTTGCGTAATGAAAAATTTTTATAATATTAATCGGCGATGCAATTGCGTTACATTCTTCTCGTTACACTACAACTCCTTTCTATATGCTTGATAATATTTTTATATCATTGAAATATATCTAAAAAAAAAAATGACAGACCAAGTTTACCCAATTGTCACTCCAGAAGGTCTTAATGAATATGATGATAAAGACATTCTGAATGCTTATGATACAAATCAATTCACACAAGATCAGCAAGAATTCTTTGAACAACAAGAACAAAACTTTAAAAAACAACAACAATTATCCTCACAATATCAGCAGCAATTTTTAGAACAACAGCTACAATTTTTAGAGCAACAGCAACAACTCTTGGAACAAGAAAAACAACAACCCATACAAAAAAAAAAACAATTGAATAAACTCACACAACAATTACAACAATTGAAACAGCTCTTACAACAACAACAACAACATTTACAACAACATCCAGATCCATCAAAGCAACAAGAATCTTCAACTTGTTCTTACCTTTCAATTAATTTCTAACTCAACGTTTCTACTTTCCAATTTATGGATTTTATTCAAAATTTTTGAAGTTGTCTAAATAATCTATTGTTTTCATTTTTCAATTCATTGTTTTCACTTTTCAATTAATTATTTTTTCTTGTCAATTTATTGGATTTGTTTTCCTATTGTTTTATTTGCCAGTTTTGATTGCACTTTGCAATTTCTCCCAATCCCTTAAAATATTAGTATAATCATCTTTATTAATTATAGAAAGCTCTCCAATTAAAAATTATTGGCGAAATTGAAATTGATTAATTAAATTCATAACCAATGATCAAAAATATTTTTTTATATATATCAGTATAGTGACTTCACTAAAAAAATAATTTAGATTCAGAACCCTTTGTCTAGTGATAGATTACACCACAATAAAAAAGAATTGAGAATAATTACCATGGTAGATAACCTACGTATTGAATTGCTATATAAAATCAGGATATGATGAAACTCAAATCAATAAAATTATTAAAACCTTAGGTTCTCAAAAAATGTAATTTGAGTAATCAGCAATTTGCCTATTACCAAAGTTGATGCATGGTATTAATATGTTAATATTGGTTGAAATGCTTAAAAACAAAGCCAATAGTATAAGAATCAATCGTCCGCACGTTACTAAAAATTTATTATTGACGATCACAAACATCTGATTTCGATTGGCTAAAACAACAGTTAATATGTTTTCAAAAACAATGATATCGGCCATTGTAATAAATGAAATATAGAGCGTGCCATAATGGACAAAAGTCAAGTTATTAATAACAGTCAAACCTTGTCATAACGGATGAACGGAATATATAAGGAAATTTTTATATGTTTTTATATTAATATCAATATGTTATGTGAAGCAAAAATTTGAAAAATCCGTTATGACAAGGATTTAATTACAGTCCGTTGTGGCATAGTTTGATTGTACAATTATTAATTACAATGAATAATAATAAGTAAATTGGATATAGACCCAGTTAATAATTATAATGAAATACTTACGTTTCTTCTAACTATGGTCAACCTGGCTAAAGGCATCAAGTGCAACGGCAAAGAGATAATCAATGACGGAAGAAAGATACTGAATTTCGTTTTTATTCTTCGATTGATTCGTGCAGTTTTCACTTTTTTCTCCTGAGAAATTTTCTTTTTTCAAATTGTATGAAATTAATATTAAGGATATTTATAAAATTGAATTAAGGAATAATCCAGTCGTTTCATGAATTTTTGGTTATTCACAGTAATCTTTGTTTTTTTTACAGGTTAATGGATTTGTATTGTGAGCTTTTTTAAAAAAAACATCCATATAAGCTGAATGATGCTGTTGATAATAAAATAATATTATTTTAGAACATTAAAACGTATAACATTTTTGACTATTTAATAACTCTGTCATTTTACAGTTTATCTTGCAATAATAAAATCTTTTTCCAATTGAACAGAAAACTATGGTTTGGTTTTTGGTATTTGGTTTATTAAGGAAAGCATTTATCCTATTATTTTAATTTACGATTAAATTGATTATTATTTATTATACTATATGTGCTAAAAGACATTTTACGAATCATCATTTGACCTTTTTTTTTTTGCAGAGACGAATATCTCCCCTGCATTTGATTTGGTAACAGTTGAAACTCATGAATGAAAGATGAATGAAAGATAAAAGGGAAATTTTTCTCTTGGTCATGTAAAAATACATATAAAAAACACCTGAAAATTTTTAAATTTTATTATATTTTATCGTTCCCATATAAACACGTTTAAATATTTATTAAGAGTCATGTCAAAATCCTAGATATAATTTTGTTCAATTAAATTTTTCTTGTCGAAAATATCTTTGAAAAAAATTTTTTTGGACAAATTTTTATTCTAGGAAAGTAGAATTTTGCATGCATATATCATGAAATCCCAAGCTACAAAATAATATAATTCTTGTGTTTTTTACCACGCGAAGCATTTTTTGGTGGTAAATTACTTGATTAATTTGTGAAATGAATACTTTTATTTCATTCAACATCCAACTGCATTTGCGTTGGATGTTGGTCATTCTAAACGTGTTAATGACATATTTGTGATTATTGTTCAATAAAAATGGAATACTGAATTTATAAGAATTTTATCTCGAAAAACTGCACTATACAAACAAATAAAAAAGCATTTTTGTAGTAGTCATGTAATTATAATTAATATTAACAAAAGTTTAATTGATGACCATTTAGAAAGTAAAGTGAAGCAATTCAACAAGAAAAAAATAAATAAAAACCTTTATATTATTATT